AAATAATCAGCTAGATGCAGTGCTGCACTTTGAACCAAGGAGAACATGAACTCCAGAAACTAGTGTTTCACATAGAAGCTTCTAGAAAGGGGTCTCCTGGGCTCAGAATTTGGAGCGCTTTCTCAGGATTTCTGAGCGTGCTGGTAATTAAGCTAAACAACATTAATGTGAAGGTTCAACTGCTACGGGAAAAGAAGCAAAACACAACCCACCCTAACTTGAAAGCTTCGTTTCATTTTAAGTGAAGAAAAAGCTACAGTTATATTCAGCAAAGAGTGCTCACCAGCCAGGACGAATGATGGTGAATTTCCCCGACACAGATAAGTCAACCACAGTTGACCCCAAACGACACTCTGGGCTCTGGACATCCCCTATTGGGCCTCCATCGATGATTAAGGACAACTGAGGCCACAGGTCTTGGAATTCCTGAAAAAAAGAGATGTGGCTAGCAGTCCTGAAGATGGTTTGTGATCGTGTTTTAAGAGACACTACTGGACGTTCTGGTGTCAAGGGAGGTGGTCTCTCCCCTTTCTCTGTCAGGTCAGCTCACTTTTTTTCTGTCATGAACACGTCCCGGTTTGATTTCTGAGAACAGATTTATCCCAGACATGCAGGATAGCCCCAAGGATTCTCTGGTTGAAGACTTTTTAGCTGCCGCACTGTTTATTAAGAAGTGCTCTATCAAGACATTTGGGGGCAAGGACAGGGTGTCTGTCTGGTACTATGCCCAACTATACCATCACCAGAGTCACAAGCTTTGCAAAAAGACATTGCCTTCAGTGACCGTTAGTTACCAGGCTGCAAGGAGCTGTACAGACAGCAGCCATCTCATTCCACAGCCATCCCTCCTACAGCAAATTCCATCTTTCACTTCAAAAGCTGCGTATAAGCCTTTACATATTAATTTTTAGCTCTGCCCTCCTTGCTTTTTAAGGCAACGATCACAGCAAGACAGCTACCCCACACCACATATCCACAGGCTGTTTTAACTAGACATTATCATTAAAAAAAAATAATAGCAGCAGAGAAATCCTTGTTTTATTGCTAAAGCTGGCTCCCAATTGTGAGAGCCTGGGGCTCTGACAAACTACCACAATAATGTCACTTAGTGGCAAAAACAGCCTTACCGAAACCGTCAGCGTGCTCGCCTGACAGCTGATGTTAGCACTTGTTAAAGCCAGTGGTCCAGAGCAAGCCCGTGCCAACTCCCTAATAAACGGGTGGTTTGGAACACGAACACCAACCAGCTACAAGGAAGAAGGGAGCATGGTTTTACACACAGTAATCGTTTTTAATCTTGCATTACCTAAAGCCTTCTTGACTTAAAGCTGATACTCTAGAGAACCAACACATCAACATCTGCTGAACTAGCAATAATGAGAAGTGTGCCTTCATTAGTTAGTCCCCAACGCTGGGTTATGCCATGTTCAAGTAAGTCACGGGGAGCATGATGGCACAGGGACCAGCTTTGGGAAAACGCCAATCGCTGCGAAGCACGCTAAACACACACATAAGAATAAAAGCCACTACAGCAGAAGCACAAAAATAGCATACTGTCTCTCAAAAACAGAGATGTATCCTGTGGCAAAGACCTACCGGTGTGAAAGGATTCAAGTCTTTATTTAGTTCCTCCGAACGCTTCAAGACCAGGGTCACAGGTCCTGGAAGTAGGTCCCGCAACAACTCGTCTGGCACGTTCACGTGGCAGTACCTACACGGCAAGAGGAAGCGCGTTAAAGGCGGCCGCAGCCTCGCCCAGACGGCTGGTGCCGGGCGCTGCGAGGCCGCTCCAGCGCGGCCCT